CAGACTGTTTTCCAGAGCAGCTGCAGCAGTGTATGAGGGTTTCAGTTTTTCCACATCCTCACCAACTGTTATTTTCAGTTTTTTTGCTTATAGACTATAGCCATCCTAATGGGTGTGAAGTGGTACCTCATTATGGTTTTGATTTGCATTTTTCTAGCGACTAATGATGTTGAGTGTGTTGTTGTGTGCTTATTAGCCATTGCTTTATCTTCTTTGAAGAAGTGTCTATTTACATTCTTTGCCCATCTCTAAATTTAATTTTCATTTTATTATTGAGTAGTAAGAGTTCTTTATATATTCTGGACACAAGTCCTTTATTAGACAAATGATTTATAACATTTTCTCCCATTCTGTGGGTTGTCTTTTCACTTTCTTGATGGTATGTTTGCAGCACAAAAGTTGTTAATTTTGATAAAGTCTAATTTATCTACTTTTTCTTTGGTTGCTATTGCTTTTAGTGTTAAAGCAAAGAAACCATTGCCTAGCCCAAAGTCACGAGGATTTACTCCTGTGTTTTCTTTCAAAAGCTTTATAGTTTTAACTGTTACATTTAGGTCTGTGATCCCTTTTGAGTTAATTTGTAAAAAAATTTTTTTATTGTGCTTTAGGTAAAAGTTACAGAGCAAATTAGTTTCCCATTCAATAGTTTGTACATAAAGTGTTCTGTGACACTGGTTGCATTCCCATAATGTGTCAGCACTCTCCCCATTTCTGTCCTGGATTCCTCATTTCCTTTTGTCCAGATTTTCTATCTCTGCCTTCTCATCGTTGATCTGGGGCATATGCTGTCGTTTTAATCTCTTATAATAGATTGTTCTAAGGAACACATTCCTCTTGGGTGTTAATGTTTATTTTATGGACCTGTCTATTGTTTTGCTGAAAGGTGGTATCCTGGAATGGCTTCAGTTCCAGGTCAGAAGGGTGTCTTAGGGCCATAGTCTTGGGGTTCTTCCAGTCTCTTGCCAGACCAGTAAGTCTGGTCTTTTTTGTGAATTTCATTTTTTGTTCTACATTTTCCCCCTGCTCTGTCTGGGCCCTCTGTTGTGATCCCAGTCAGAGTGGTGGGTACTGGTAGCCAGGTTGAGTTAATTTTTGTGTATGGTGTGAGGTAGGGGTCCAGCTTCATTCTTTTGCATGTGGATATCCCGTTGTCCCAAGATCATTTGTTGAAAAAACTATTCTTTCCGGATTGAGATGTCTGGCTAACCTTGTAAAAAATCAATTGATTTTATTATAAAAATACTAGAGCAAATGTTTAACAAACCAGGATCAAAGATCAGAACCTTTACATTTTGAGCTCTGAGTTCTATTTCATTGATCTTGGTTTGTTAAACATTTGCTCTAGTATTTTTATAATTTATTTCCAGAAGTGATTATTTGTTCTGTGTGAAATGTTTTTCTTTTTAGTTTTAAAAAAGAACAGTCACCAGGTAGTGGTAATCTACCAAATTAGATATAGTTAGTAAAAACAAACAAACCAAAAACCAAGCTTGTAGGCTGTTTTAGGCAGAAAACTTTGACATATAAAATTTCAGGCATTTTGTGATAGCTCCTTTTTTGTATTGCTTATTTTAAAACATCGAAGTATAACATTTTAGGCATTTTGTAATATTCCTTTCTGTATTGCTTATTTTAAAATGACTTAAATTTGAGTGATTGCTAGCAAAAAAGATGTTTATACATTTTCATTAGCATTATTATGCAGAAAAGCACAGTACTGAAAACAAACATTAAGGAAATGGCAAAATTCAAAAGACTACGAAGTTTACTTCTGTACAGAGAGACTACGTTCTGTGTTATCATCACATTCTGAACACCAAAAAGCTGCTAAAAACTACAAGAGTAAAATTTCTGAAATACTGATTTTTCATCCTATGACACTTAGAAATGTATGTTGTCTGCACACCGTTGTCATCTTTTCAGAGGCTGCACTACTTGATTCTGTTTTCTTGGAGAATAGAGAGCACATGTAGTTCTTGGAAAGGCATTATTGGCTTATTGTTGTCTTTCTGTTCTGTGTGCATGTTACTAAACAAGGAGTTCCCCAAAGTGCTTGCCTTTTGCAAAAATGCATCTTACGTGCTTATGCCGGTGCTGTAATTCCCCATGTCTGTTGTATGTAAGCAATGAGCGTGTTCTCGGTATTTGGCTGATGACTTTAACTTTCATTTAGGAATCTCTGTCTGAAGTGGAAGAAAAGTACAAGAAAGCCATGGTATCCAACGCACAGTTAGACAATGAGAAGAACAATTTGATCTACCAGGTAGACACCCTCAAGGATGTCATTGAAGAACAGGAAGAACAGATGGCAGAATTCTATAGAGAAAATGAAGAAAAATCAAAGGTGATTGCTCATCTTTATCATACCGTTCTCTTGGTCAAAAAACAAAAACCTGCCATTTAGAAAGTGACAAAAAATAGACAATCGATAAGTGGTATCTTGGGTGAAGGGTGAGACAGTACATAATACAGGAGAAACTAGCACAGTTTGTACAAGGAAAGGTCATGGAAGCTCCATAGACACATCCAAACTCCCTGAGGGACTGAGTTGCTGGGCGGAGGGCTCTGGGGACCATGGTCTCGGGGAACATCTAGCTCAATTGGCATGACACAGCTTATAAAGACAATGCTCTACATTCTACCTT